CCAGTCGGCCTGGCAGCGTGGGTGGGCTGAGGCTTTGGAGTCAAAGCAAGAATCCCTCTGATGATGTTAGCCCGCTGTCTTAGATTTAAATGAAAGAATCTCTGTTCGCCCGACTGTTCGTCTGACTGTAGCTCTGACTGTAGCTGACTGTTCGTCTGACTGTTCGTCTGACTGTTCGTCTGACTGTTCGTCTGACTGTAGCTCTGACTGTAGCCCAGCTTCACACCCTGCTGCTGCTGCTGCTTCTAGGTTCATCCTGTGTGTGTGTGTGTGTGTGTGTGTGCAGCCTGGATGAACATGCAGCTCTGGCTCATGTGGTGGCTCATGTGGATGATCCAGTGATATTTTTACCCTCAGTCTGTAACTTCACAGTTCTGATTACACAACACACACACAGCGAGAGAAAAAAAAAAAGAAAGAAATTCTCTCATCAGAATATTTGGAAATTGGACCGCGCAGTGGAAGAGTGGTTAGTGCTAATTGCCTTACTGGTTTGATGCCCGGTGGTAACTGATTGTCTGGTGCTGTGGATTTCACATGTTCTCTCCACGTGTGTGTGCATGTGTGTGTGTGTGTGTGTGTTTCTCCTGGTTCTCATGCTGGACGACTGACAAATGTCAACGTTGACAAATGAATAAAGAGTTTGTTTTAGTCGTGGTTTGTTTTTATATTTTATTATTAAATAAAATAAAATTCATGTCAGTGATGTTTAACACTGTTATTATTTGTACTGTTTACATCTAAAGATCTTAATGATAAACATCCAGACCCACATCACCATGATGTTCTTGCTGTAAGGCAATGGTTCTCAAAGTGAGGGGCGTGGAACCACAGCTGTGCTGTTAGTGACAGACTGATGGTTTTTTAGAACCAAGTCTCAGATTATCGGTTCTACCACGTCCTGATTTTAAAGTTTTCATTCCCTGCTCTCCATACTGCCCCCTGCTGGTAGGGAAGGGATTTGCAGTTTTAAGCGAAGGCACTCAAGTGCCTTTTTTATTTCAATTCTATTTATTCTCTTCATTCAACCTATTAATGCCACTGGGGTGAACCGGTGCCCACGTGGGCAGTGGGTTGGATTTATTGAGTGCTAGCATAACGGCCCACAGCACAGTGGAGGCTGGGATTCAAACCTCTAGGCCACACAGGTCAGTGATAAGGTTCTCGTTAAGCCACAAATGACACGAGAGCTGAGTCCTCACCAGAATAGCTGTGCGAGAACAAGTGTGTGTGTGTGTGTGTTTTGAAGAGGACAGCAGGGGGTCGGCCCACTGGGGTCCCGGTTCAGAGATTTAAACCATCCACACCTCCAGTGTAGGAACTCAGTGGCTCCCCCTTACTGTCAGTGAGTCCATTCAGTGTCTGTGATCACACACACATATCCAAACACAGGGGTTATTTATAACCAAGGGTGGGGGGGGAGGGGGTGAGAGGGTTGGGGGAGTTAGAGGAAAGGCAGCCTGTCCTTGCCGAGCCTATTTTGGGAGGTCCAGCTTTCAATCAGTCAAGATGACAGCGTTTTAGTGATACCAGGAGAACAATACAGAGTGGCCTGTTTATCTTCCTCTGACCAGCCCGGGAGTCTGTGAGCCTGGGTGAGTGTGGCTCAGCCTCACCCTCACCCTCACCCTCACCCTGGGTGGGAAGCATCCCTCCAGGAAAACCTGATTTCCAGGACAACAGCCATGTCAAAATGTGTCACTTTACAATAGGTTTCCATTGTTGTCCTGAACATCTGTCACTGATCTGAGGTCTGATTAGGAGTTCTCTGGAGGAATGTTTCTCAAGCGGTGGGTTGTGGCCCAGTCTAAGTTGATAAACACGGATGTTATAAATTAGAGATTGAAAAAAGAAAAATCACTTCTTATATCTCTAATACAGCAACACCTTATCACTGGAAGTCAAAAAGTTCTAAGACAAATGTTGTCATTGTTAAAAGTGTCTGATTTTAAATAACTAAGACTTCTCTAATATTTCATCTCTATATTTTGTCAAATGTTGAGCCTTGTAACAGTTAAATCAAATAAATTATTTAACTTCAGTGCAGCTAATTGTTGTTGAGAATACGAGAATATGTTTTTTTACCTTTAATTTAAATACCAAAACCACTGGGATTAAAAGGATTGACTTCACAATGAACACAAAGAGGGATTCATAATTTTAGATTTGTAAAGTTTAGGCCAAAAAAAACCCTATTTATTATGTCTTTTTGTTTGTAATTTAGGCCAAAAAAAACCCCCCTATTTATTATGTCTTTTTGTTTGTAGTTTTGAGATAATTTATTTTTCTTTTAAAGTGTTAAATGTGTGTTTTGAACACAGCATGTAACTCCTCCTGGTTCCTCCCTGATTTCACTCTCTATGTTGTTTGGATCTATACTGTATTATCTACAACTATTACATTTTGAATAACCCAACAGTCGATGTTTTTAGAGAAGTTTAAACTCTGTGCAACAGCAGCAGCAGCAGCAGCAGTGACATGAAGGATGAGACCCTGTGTGTGTGTCTGTGTGTAGCAGTGAGGAGGGAGAATGCAGCCTGATACTGTTATCTCTGAAGTGGAGATTGCAGCATGTTTACTGTAGCTAATGGTCTATGTCATCACTATGTCACTACTGTGCAATGTTGGCAGCAGCAGCAGCAGCAGCAGCAGCAGCAGCAGCAGCAGAGGTCGGAGCAGACGAACAGTCGAACTCGTGTAGAAGATCTGATCATTATCCTCGTCAGTGATTTATTTGCTGCTCCTCTGAGTTCACGCTGTGACACCAGAGAAAGTCAGTCAGGGAAAGAAAATTCCTGGAGACGCACGTAATACTCCGAGGAAGAGATTTGGGATAGTGATCCAGACACACATCCTGACCTGACCGAAAAACAACTGTTGGCCTTGACAGATGTTGAAACTGTCAGAGAGTGGCCGCAACATTAGGGACAGCTTCCTCCGTCTCACCAACATCAAGACTGAATAACTCCACCCTCCGTCCACTTATCACCACTCACTGATACACAGTCTGCTGAGTAGAGTTTTTGTTCCACCAAAGATCCTCCAGTTTTAAATAACCACTCTAAAAAACCCAGCATGTGTTAGTGGAGGCTTCAACTCCAGGTCACACCTGGTTTACATCAGACCAGCTTCACCGAGAGCAGAACAGTAAACAAGTCTACGATGGACGAGTTGATCGACACCACAACAACGTCACTGAAGTATGGAAAACAACTCCACAGGACACCGTCAAGATGCACATCAAATTTTCAGTTTCATATTTTTAAAATATTTTTCTTCCATGTAAATAATTACATCATATGGATTGATCACAAATTAAAAAAAACATTGCCTTTTTGTTCCAGCAATATACAATGTTTTTTTTACATATATATGAATGATGAATGTTGATTTACCCAGATTAATCAAATCACAATCAATCATGATATTTGTATTTTTTAAACATACTTTTCCAACTGATCAACACTGACTAATAAACAAATAACCAAACTTTTTTTTTTTTTTTTACAAAAATTCCACATCAAAAATTTGGCCACATCAGCCAAACATTTCGCGCCAGTTCATCTGCGGACCACATGTTGAAGATACTTCAGAATTTGATTTGTTTTAGGGTTGTTGTTTTGTTTTTTAAACATAATTTTGCCGGCTCTCTGTTGTCACTAATACCACAGTGCTTCACTTAAACCCACGTGACATCCCCGTGTAAACAATGAAACTGCCTCACCTTTTTTATTCATGCCACTCCAGACCACGTGGTTCTCCTCTCTCCACCTGTTTCCCTCCCTCGCTCCGTCACTGCTGTGATTGATGGCTTTTCCATCCTGTCGGCATCTCTCAATTAAAAAAAGGAACGAAAAAAAAAAGGAAAACTCCAATCCTTTTGACCTTTACATCCATTTGGCTGTTTCCACTAAACACACATGAACACCCCCGACCTGACGTGGCTGCGTGGGCCTTCTCCTATTTTAGTCAAACTCCCTTCCGTGTCCTTCCGTTCTTCCTGTCTGTTTAAAGCCAGCCAACGTTTCTGTTCTGACGCCATGACAGTCACTTGGTCGAAAGGAGAGTGTGCTAATTTTAATGGAATTTAACTCCGGACACTGCCTCTATACTGAGTAAAGTTTCTATTAAATCATCTAAAAAAACAAACAAACAAACAAAAAAACTCGTTAACCTCATTTACCGCGTTTCCAGACTACGTGTTGTGCCTTTTTCGGAAGTAGTTTAGCCGGACTTCCGGCTTGTATTCTGGTGCTTGACATCAAAATGTTATATCCTCTGCGGCCTAAAGAGGGCGCTGTCTACACTTATGACATATGGACGTTACTGTATCACTGAAAAATACACGACTAAACCATAAAGAGCTTCATAAAGAACAAAAATAAAACAGATAAAGACACAGTACCGGTAACTGGAACTGATGCTAATGCGGTAAAGAAACGGAAAAGTACCGGTAACTGGAACTGATGCTAATGATGAAGCTAAAAAGGAGATAGCGCTCCATGTTCCTCCAGAGTTGGGGGAATTATTTGGCGGTAACACCGAGGCTGTGCAACTTCAGCGATGAGGAATAGGATCGGGAACTTGTTAGCCTGTTACATTAATATAGTACATATTTAGCATGTTTGTTTAGACTACGTTAAAAGTTATTTATAGATGAACCGGAAATAAATGTTTTTTAAAAATATAAACATGACGTAAAAACCAGTGACACCTTTGGACATACGTCAGTAATGTTTTTCATTATGTGCTGTACTTTTATGTACTTCGCAACGAAATATTAGTCGAGTCTGTCGTTAAGATGAAGTTAAAATTTAACAATAAATATAAAAATATAATTTATATATGTGTGTTTATACATTTATATAAAATATCAATATTTAGGCTCTGTATGTGTCCTTAGCATTTAGCATAAACTCGACTTAAAAACCGTTTCCTGTTTCCTGTTAGAGCCACAACAACCCCACAAATGAACCAAGGAACAATGAATACAACTTTTATGTGGTTTTACAGTTTTATTACAAATGCAAATCTCATGACATGAACCGACATGATTGTTAAACAATTAAAACTAATATTTTTGCACATCAGTGACTCATTATTCCTGGGACGTTTTCTTTTTTCCCCCTCAGAACTCATCTGTGTTGCTCCTGGAGTCTCGTAGGCGTGTGAGAGAAGTCAGCACTTCTTCCGTCGTCCTCCTGCCCAGCTGTTTACCCCGTCTGCTCCTCACATTCACCGTTCCGCTCTCTACCTCCTGATCTCCCACCACTGCTCAGACAAAACACACACACACAGTCATGATTTGCTACGGCCGTGTCATAAGTGATGTGTTTGTGTTAACATCTTTCGTCAACGTTGGACGGTGGCCTCGTGACGGCAGAAATCGTGGCTTTTCATGATTCATCTTTACCAAATATGTAGTTGTACTGAGCCAGCTGAGCGGAGCGGATCTTCTTATTTAAGGTGGACCCCTGGTCATCGCTCACATCAGCCATGAAGCCAGCTTCACGGAACATCAAAACCACCTTAAACAGGACGAGGCGCTTCTTTAATATACTGACTCTTTGTGTTTCTCAGACATGAAGTGAAACGACATGCAGTACACTTGTTCTGTTGACTTTACTTTATGTTTACAGACTGACCTTTTTGGCATATGACTCACAGTTGCCCCCTACTGGAATAACCATGATCTGTGCTGGTGATAACCACAGGGGCCTAGAGGAAGAGAATAGGGAGAGATTTTTTTTTTTTTTACCGTAACAGCAGGAAATAAAAAAACATGTGACTTCCTGTGATAACAGAGATATTCACACCATTTTCCTCCAAAGTTCTCGGCCAGTATGGCCAACATTCTCTCCAGTGATCCCAGCACTGCTCTATGGATCATCACTGGCCTGTGCTTCTGTCCATCTCGCCTTCAACAGGAAGTAAGAAAGAACACATTGAACACATGAACACATTTACAGATTAATTTAACATTAAAGTAAATGTAAGTAACAGAAATACTGTATATGACTGATTATTTGATACAGGATACAAAATAGGGCTGTCCAATGAAATGATCATGTTTTGTGTAGATTAATCAAAGTTAATCATGATTAATCATTATCATAAATAAGCATGATGAACAGAAATAAATAAAAATTCCTAAATATAACAAAAATAAAAAACCAAAACTCACAATTTAGTTGAGATAGGTTTTTAAGCTTGGGCTGCTTTGGTGAAACTGAAACATTTGTGTGTGTATAAGAGAAAAAAAAGTAGGTAGATGGACAGTGAAATTATTGGATATACTTACCTTAAAATTATTCTGCATAAAAATGTTAATATTAATCTTCACAAATGCTTTAATGTGAATAATTTATATAACAGCCCTAATACAATGTTACTTTAATTACAATAACTAGTTTGTGTTAAATGTGGCCAATATAACTATACTGGTCTATATACTCACACAAACCAATAAAAACAAAAACAAAAAAAAACACTAAAACAGAACAAGATTTAAGAGCAGCTACGGAGCATGTGCTTGTCCAACTCAATGAATCCAATAGAAAAAGACCCTCCTTTTCCAAAACCAGATTAAGCCCTGGTGAATTCACTTGTACAGCTTGAGTATGAAGTGAATGGGATCAACAAACAGATGAACACATGCTGCTAGAGTTCATGTTTAAAACGCTGCAGATGTTGGAATGTTTGATATAAGAGAGAGAGACAGAGAAAAAGAAAGAGAGAGAGAGAGAGAGAAAACCAAATGTAGTTTGACTCACCCAACATACTGAAGGTCAAATCTGATTGGCAGCTGGAAGTCCAACTGGATCGTGGCACACTGGTGCTGCCTGTTGAGGGCATCTTTGATCTGAATGTCAATCTATGAAGAGAAACACGTGTGTGTGTTTTAGTTTGAAAATCAGGCCCTCCATCTTTGTTCCAGCCTCATTGGAATAAACTCTTCAATCCAGTCGTATCAGCCTCAGCCTCATGAACAGTTTATGCTGACGATTGATTTTTTTTTTGTTTGACTTAATGTCAAAAAAATGATTTCCACCTTCTTATTCCTAGAGTTTAAAAATCTTTTTTAAAACTCTTAGTTTAGCGATACTGAATGTCAAAAAAATGATTTTCACCTTCTTATTCCTAGAGTTTAAAACTCTTTTTTAAAACTCTTAGTTTAGCGATGGGGTGTGTTTTAACTGTGAATGTTTTACTTTATCATTTATTTATGATTTTTAAATTTCATCTTGTTTTATGGCCGTGCCCTCCCTTTAGAGAGAGGATAAACTTCCATCTGGCCTTCGTCCAGACCACGGCTGTGAATCAAAATTTGTTCTTAAATCTTCCTGCCTGGTAAAATAAAAAAACAAAAGAAAAACATCACTAATATTAAAAAGAAACAAGCCATGACACACATAAACTTCCCACATCAGAACTTTAGGGTTTGGGTGGGAACTGTTGATGATCACAGAGCAGAGGAAAACACAGTGACAACAAACACTGTGTAGACTGTTGAGTATTGAACAAAATGACTGATGTCAGTGTCTTTGTTAAAGGTCAAAGATCATTGACCTGGCAGCAACTCTGACCTTTGGTCCGTAGAAGGCGCCGTCCCCTGGGTTTAACTCCCAGTGTTCACCAAACTGCTGCAGACTCCTCTGTAGCTGCTGCTCACACACACACACACACACACAAATACACACACACACGAGCCAAAGGATAAAATGTGAGCTTTGGAAGGATTGTGTGTGAGATAAGTGAGCTGTAACTATAAATTCAACAAAACTCCATTGAATCATCTTCAGTCTTTTTAAAAGACTTCAGAGCATTAATAGATATAAATCTACCCGGCAACAAACCACAGATGTGCAAAAACAAAGTCCTCATCAAACTGATAGCATTTTATTTTATTTTTTTTACAAAGGATTTTTTTTAGCTAATTACAACAGTACAAGGCTGTCAATCAAATAAAAATATTAATAATGATTAATTACACAGTTGTCAATAATTAGCACAGTGTTAACTCCAAATTAATCACACATCATTTGGAAACGTTTTAAACACTTTTCCAAACATGGGCGTTGACAAATATGTTCACTTTAAACAAACATATAAACATATAATAAATAAATTGAAAACTGTAGAATCTTGGAGAATTAAATTAGAATTTCCCAGAAATCCTTTGTTAAAAAAACTTTGCACCGTGAGTCACAAGGTCAAAGTGTGTAGTAAATGGACACTTCTTTTATAACAGAGGCTCCTCCCATTGACATCTTTATTGATCCGTGTGTCACATGACGCCTACTGTTACTCCTAACATTCACAGCTATAAGAGAGTGTGTGAGTTTGGTTTGTTCACCTGCTCAGCACGATCCCACTGTTCAGGATCTCCTAAACACGGTGTGGGCCGAGTGGAGAGGAGGCAGTGGAAGGAGAACCCAAAGACTCGGTACACGCTCCTCACAAATTCTAAACAGGAGACGATCTCCTCCTCCAGCTGCAGAGCAGAGAGGTAAAAAAAGAAAAAAAAAAGTTTTCATACAAACCTGTGATTTAATAAGACAAACAGTGAGGTGGGACACGGGGGTTGAGGAGTGTGAATGATTTAAACCTGCTGTAATTACAGTAATTACATGAATTGACTTTAAAGCCCTAAATGAACAATTGAGTTCAGACTGTGTCATGTGAACGTTGGGGTAAAATAACAGGAGCCAAATAATCAGCATCATGGGAGCGTTCACGGCCGCGGTGAACAGCAGCCGTCTCAACAGATGCACGTATGGAGGCGTCATGTTTAAACAGCACAAAGAGCTTTATTCATAAAGCCAGGCCCCCTGGAATGTCTTGAGGTATTTGTGCAGAGCATCTAATCACCGCACTGTGGCTCCACGTGTCCTGTTTGCACTTTCTGACCCAATTAACGGGCTTCACGGTGCGTCCTGGTGTCTACGCAGGCTGTTTTTATGTGTTTGTTTGGGTATGTTTATGTGTGTGTGTGTGTGTACCTGCTCGGGCATGCAGAAGATGTGAGCGTCATCCTGGCAAAACCGGCGAACCCGGGTCAGTCCGCCCAGCGCTCCTGACAGCTCGTTACGGTGGAGGGCCCCGAAGTCGGCCCATCGCAGAGGAAGTTCCCGCCAGGAACGAACGCGCTGCTCAAACATAAGACTGAACACAAGAAGAAGAGAAAAGTCTTTTGAATAAACCTAACCTAATCTTGGTCGAGTCAGACCAGTTTCATCAGTAGAACTGTTTTGATTAGCTGACAAAAACAAGACAAATAATATTTAATGTTTATAAAATCAATACTCCGCCTGCGTCCTGGCGCTCACCAGTGTGCTGGGCAGTTCATGGGTTTGAGGGCGTAGGTTTGGGAACCCTCTGATGTCACGGTGAACATGTTCTCGCTGTAGTGCTCCCAGTGTCCGGAGCGCTCCCATAATTCGGTGCTGTACAACGTTGGGGTCACGACCTCGGTGAAACCTCGCCTTTGGTATTCGCTCTGCGAGATGTCAGGAAGGACAATTAGCCAATATGAGCGCAGCGGTGCGGGTCAGACGGTCACCAGAGTCCAATAATGACAGGAAGACAAGTGCAATATCCTGAGCACTTAGACAAACATGTACATCCTCAGGAGACGACACAGGTTCATGTATGTGCTCTGTATGTGTGTGTGTATGTTACATAGGAAGGGTAGAAGTTGGAAGGTCAACGTTGTCAACTTTCATTAAGTGGTTGTTACATTAATGAAAAGCTAGGAGCACAGCTGTGTTAGAGCAGTTCTAACGTCCACCCAACGCTGGTGAAGTCGATGCAGGAGCAGAGACACGGACGTCTGTTAACAAGTTAGTAAGTTGGTTGGCTAGTAATGGTTGGTTAGTAATGCTAATCAATGATAAAAAGATTTTTTTTTACGTACTTTTAAGTGCTTATTTAGTCCATAGAGAAAAACAATAGTATTTACAGTACGTGTGAATGAGTGTGAATGGTCTGTATGTCCATGTGATGGATTAGAAACTGTTCGGAGTGTATCAGGTAACTGCGCCCTCACCTGATAACAGGGAGGAACTGCAATTTCAGGAAATTAAAAATATGTAAACCAAATAATTTGAGCAAAAACATCATTTCAAAAATATATAAATTTGGTGAATAGGGAATTTATATTATGTGTGTGTGTGTTTAAGGGGAATATATCTGTAATGGATGAAGACGTGTGTTTGAGGGGAATATATCTGTAATGGATGAAGAGTGACAACATTTCTTTTTAATCAACTGAACCGAGCCCCTTATGTTTAGAACAGTATTTTCACCTTAATGAAGTCCTTGAGTTTGTTGTAAATGTGGGCTCCTTTAGGAAGGAAGAAGCAACTGCCAGGACTGACGTCATTGAAGAAGAACAGGTCTTGGTCCTGCAAACAAAACCCAGCATTTAACACTACGAACCACTCATCTAATTTCAGATTTATTTTCCAAGGTTTTGTTTTTACCGTGCCTATGCGCCTGTGGTCTCTCCTCCTGGCCTCCTCCTGCTGCGTCTCCCACTCCTGTCTGTCCTTCTCACCTGGAAAGGCGACACCCGACAGACGCATCAAACACGCTGAATCTGCCTGATTGGCCAGAGTCACGGGAGAGTGCTGCAGAGGGGAAGAGGAAGTAATGGGTGAACAGAGAGCTGGAGTGATGTGAACGCAGCAGATCTGATGGATGACAGTGTGTTTTCGAGGGCCTGAACAGGAAGCTGGCCCCTGACAAACACAACATCCTGGTGCTTATATTTCCACACTGACTGCCATGAATTTACAGTCTCTCCACTTATGACCCATTATGGAAACTCCACTGTCTCTCTCTGGATTAATAAAGACAAGAAAAATTCCATTTACCCACTGTGTGTCCCCCTGGCCAGACATTTGCCAAAGGTTCCACATAAAACAGTTTTTTAGAGATTTGGCAGCGTTTGAGCAGCATGGCAGATTATTGTGAGGATAATGTTCCACTGAGCATTAGACCAGTGATGGAAAACAGGAGGGGAGCTTGGCAACATCAGTTCAACAACAACTAACATCAAGAAAAGAAGAGACACACAAAAAAAACACACACATACACACATTTAAGGATATAAAAAAATACAGACCTGGAGAATTTTGAAGACCTTGAGTAGACCTGTGTGTGGCAGCAGAGGGCCAGTACACACACCTACGCTGTGTCCACACCTGGGTCACAAAGAACAGGATGGAAACATTTGACACGTACTGTATGGAAACATCACAAACACTGTGTTGTTCTGTGTTAATACTGCTAACACTAATACCTGTAGACTGTAACAGTGGGGCCATTCATCTGCTCTTTAACAAACTGTAGCCTCATTTGGTTACACTGGAATGAGAGTGACATGAAAAAACACAGAAAATGAATTAAAATTCAACATAGTTGTGTTTTTTGTTCATTTTAGAAATAACTGAATGTTCAATTGTTAGAAGAAAATTACTCAACCCATATATACATATACACACACACTGGACTATGAGTTGCACCTGCGTATAGGTCACAACAGTGCCCTCTAGTGGCTGTTAATGTGAAAATAACAAACAAGTACATTTTTAGTGATACATGAGTGGCAGATACTGCTACACAAACCTAGAGTGCCCTCTAGTGGCTGTCAGTGTAAAAATAACACACATGTTAAATTATATATTTTAATATATCAGTCGCACCCGAGTCTCAAACCCAGCCAAAGGATGGAAAAAATTGCAACTTATATTCCGCAAAAAACAGTATACTTATGTGTGTATGTAAATATAGACATATGTGCAGATATGTCAAAAAATATTAGTATTAAGAAATACAATGTGTATATGTTCAGACACAGGGAAAGTACAAGTCACCGTGACAACGGGTCATAATTCTGGGAATGCAGGGATTTAAGTGGTAAGAACTCCTGACCTGGAAAAGCTCCTGCAGCTCTGCAAGATTCAGCTCCAGAACAGACAGAGGAAGTTTGAGAGCAGCCGCCTCTTCACATTTCTCTTCCACGTCCTTCAGGGACCAGTCACTGCAAATAAAGATACAAAAATAACTTTAATGGAAAAACTATGATTAGGATAAAGACAAAGGATTCATTTGTATGTTTTAAAATCACAATATTGACAAGACCAGACTTGATCTTGTTCATTATTATTTAACCTGTTGTTTTGCTGATGGTCACAGTAGAATCCCAGCTGTGAAGCTCCTTCTCTGAACACACTGGCACCAAAGAAACTTTCCATCACTCCACCCAGAACACATGATGCCGTCCTCCAGGCTGCCTGGAAGAGAGAGAAGAGTGTTAGGACGCTGGATTCACTGAAGATCAGGAAACAAAACAAAACAAAAAGAATCACCAGATTTTACC